AACCGGTGTAGAGTGTGCCGTTCTCGAGTGTCATGCCAACTCGGAGAATTAGTCATTAGACAGTCAGTAAAACTAGTGAAAACCGTACAGAATACTGCAAATGAGCATTGAATGATTATCAAAAGCTCGTCATGTAGAGCTGGCAGCTGTAACCAGAACTGGTTGAAGCTCTTCGTTCTCCCAGTAGTTGTTTCTTTCACAATTTCCCCTTCTTCTACCCGTTCTTGGAATCGGCAATTTGGGGCGTCATTACCTGCACAATGCCGGCTGAATAGTAATCAACCACAACTTTGTGGCTACTCTGTGTAATACTAATGATTTGTTTGGTATTTAGAAAAAGTCAAATATCCGAGTGTTGTTTGGAGTAAGTGACTAACTGGTGGGTGTGATGGATGTTATGAAAAACAACTCTGTGATGTTTCCCTTTTTATTATTGAGTAGCAGTGCGATGCATTGTCATAAGGGTTGGTTTATAGTTCGCGACTCGAGCAATTTTTGAATCGCGCGATTGCGACCAAGAGCGCTTCACTACCAATCGTTGGACGGATGTGACTGCTGATCCGATCACACTCAGGAAAAAAATTCTTTTCATCGTTGCCACTGTTCATCGTTTATAGTGAAGCGCGATCGGTCACAGTCGCGTCTAAAGAGAATGGCATGCCTCGTCGCGAAGTATAAACACGGTTTAAGGACACTGTACACTCACCTGTGTAGGTCGTGGTCCTTGTCATGTCAGAGGTGAATGAGTCCGCTGCTGCATTTGCATGCTAGTTTCTTCGGGGAAAATGCACTTGATCGGAGCTGTAGGGTAGTATTTTCCGAATGCAGTCCTCCCTACTCCACCTCCGCACCTTGCTACCGGTGCACGTGCAGCACATTGAGGGTACTGCGGGCAAAGTATGGAGACGACGTACGAGTTCCAGTACCCTCCAGTCCCGCTCCCGTGCTTTGTAGAGCAGGAGAAAGTAGCACACTACTGCAACAACACTCATTCGCTCTAAACGTGACAAGGACCATTCTCGTAGGTGAAGGTAAAGTTTTTCTACAAGGAGTACTGTGTAGTAAGCGGGGCATCGTTTGTCGCCTGAACCTTCTTTCATAGACAATCGCAGCGACACACGAGGAGCCGGTGTGTCTCTCTCATTAGTACTGTCAACCTCTTTACCACCTGATAGAGGAGGAGCACCCCAACGAGGTACCTCCGTCAATAAGAACACGGAATGTGTCTTGGAGAAACTGGTCTGATCATACAAGAAGTCTACCAGGCGCTTTACGAACAGTAGCTGATATCTACTTTTGGCATGTTTGGTTCAAGTTATTCGCCCCACTGCTTGAAGCTGCTTTGTTGAACGTAATGTGGCTGTTTAGAGCCTTGCAGTCACGTAAGAAGGCCGTCGGCCAAGAGATTTGGGTGGTGGAGACGCGCTGAAAGTGACTCAGCGAAGGTGGCATTCACTAACTGAATGACTCCGTCTGCTGTCGGGTCCAGGTTCGAATGACGCGTATGCGCCGCCACTTGTATTGCCGCTTTCGACGTTCTGCTGCATGTAGTAGAGTGATCTCCTAGCAAGTACGAGTATCTTTTACCAAACATCCATGTGAAAAGTTCATTTTATACCTATACCTCAGAGAAAAACTATGAGAGAAGTCCAAGAGGAAGTCTTTCTTCCGGAGTAGTCGAAGTCAGTGCTTTCTGCAGAAGAGTTTGTTTACTAGTGTTCAATGAAAAAATAATACAGCCTTCTTCCTTCTTGATAACAAGTGAAATTTTGTGCTCAAAACAATCTACCGTGTCTTCTCCATGCAACGATGCGCGTACAGCCAGACTTTCGTTTATTGTATAAATTTCAAGCGAAATTTACGAGTGCTGTTGTATCTTTGCGCGCGCGCATCGATGTATGATGACTGTGAGTGTACGGAATGTCTTGCATGATCTCTCGTTCAGCTCTACCCTTACAGTGTTCCGCGAAATGTGGTCGCGGAGTGCGGCGACGAGTTGTCGCCGTGCATCGACTTGGCGACAAACGCGACTGTTGCAAGTTCACGTTGTGAAGCCGTATCGCGACCAGTTGACGAACATAAATGTCGCGTGATGCACTGCCCAAGATGGAGAGGAACACCCTGGTCTGCGGTGTGTCTTTTCTATTTTCACTTTCTTCTTTAACTTTCTCCTTTTTTACCAATCATTTTTAATCTTTTCCAATGATAACTCTAATAGCTAGTTTTATCTTACCAACTATTCTTCAGTTTCTGAATAACAAACCGATACTTATGGTTAGCTCAGTCTAGTTCAAGTGTTTACAGAGGGCAAAACAGCATTCCATCCCACAAAACTCTTCATAAAGGGACCTTTTCAGGCTACTCCTAAATCAGGGCACAGCATTCGATGGGGATTTTGGTCGAGCTTTTACGACCCCCCCCTTTTTTTTCAGGGGCTGGTACGACCCCCCCCCATGCTCGTACGATGGCTGACTGTGGTTGTGGTTTATACTCGGCGAAAAAGTTGGTCGAGCGGGGGGGGGATGGGGGGTATGTAGTAGGCACTAGGCATGCGACGTTACATCATACGGGGGTACTAGTACCTTAACACAGAAAAATAACGTGAACCACGTTAACTTCCGTAGCCAGAAACACGACCCCCCCCCCTCCCAGCGAAGCGAGCCAAATACGAGCCCCCCCCCCCCTCCAAAACGTGCCGCAGAAGCGAGAGAAAGAATCAAACTATAAAAATCATTTTTCCCAGGCCAGCCATTGACGACTCCCCTTCTTGGTGGCCCAAATTACGACCCCCCATAGGGAATCCCCATCGAACGCTGTTGCCCTGCCTCTAAACGGCAAATCGGCGCCGTTTTGCCTTATAGAGGCACTTTGCAGGATTCTACCAATCATTAATAGTGCCTCTCGTAAAGACCTGTGAATTTCTGCAAAACTATGCAGTAGCAGGGGTTTCGTTTACACATTTGACAAGAGTCTACAGATCTCATCACGGAGAGACGCATAATTTAACAGGAACTATTACAAGGAACCAGCGGAAGTGCAAAATGCCCCTCCCTAAGCCGAACAGCGCTCACCGCAAATCTGACGCTCAGGGGAGGTTTCTAACTCGTCCACTTTGGATCTGCCCACATCGTCCCTTTCTGCACTCATGTGGCCTTCCCACTTTTCCCCATTACTCATACTACTATTCACGGGTTCTGTATATCAATCTCGCCCCCTCTCAACTGTGAATAAGTCCCCTGCATCTCGTCTGCTAGACATCTACTCACCTCTGCACATTTTCCACCGGACTCTGGCTTACCTTATTTCGAAATTATGTATATTCGGTGCACGTAGCTCTCCCTTGAAGGCAATATCTGATCGCTGGGGAAGGAAGTAGGGGGAAGGGCATCAGACACTCTTAGCTTATCTGAATTAGCCTTTGATACACACTAACCAAGCTTTCCTCGGGTCTCTAAACTGTTTTGTTTTGTAGAAAGCCTCACCCGTTCAGTGTGCCCCGCAATCGGGTGAACTGCTGATCTGTCTCTCAGCATCGCCCCGCCCATTTGCCCGCCCCATTCCCAAACTCGACCTTGGGATTCTCTTTAGGAAGAGCTTTTAGGTGTGCCCGGGAATTTCTATGACCAGATGGATAGTCTTGTTCGCTGCGGCTACTGAGGCGTGTCAAGAGGGGGGTTGCATTTGCCGCGGCGCCAGCCCATTTTTTACAAATTGTTGTCGCTTTAAGCCGCGTTCAACAACCAGGACAAGCCGCCTGGACACGTTCAGCGATCTGCAAACAGTTGGAGCCGATTTTACACGGCTAGTCGATACGGTGAGATCAAGCAAAGATGTAGTGGATGAACACCATTTCTTCCTTCTGATATTCCTTTTTTTTAATTTTGAATGTTACTGATTCTTTCTTCTTAATCTCACTTTGACATTTTCATATTTTAATGTTTTCCGTCTAGTGTTCGGCGACCTGTGGGCAAGGAGTCCGTCACAGAGAAGTGTTCTGTCAACGAGGTCGACGAATGCGAGCTCCAGACTCCGTCTGCGATTCGTTGCGTAGACCAGCCACTACCTCCAACTGCTATTTGACGGCATGTCCTGCCTATCACTGGGCTACCACAACCTGGTCCAAGGTACGCGGGTTTTTAGCACTAACACTTAGTGGCTCACATCGCTTCAGCGTTGACGTGACTACTCACAACCGCGTTTCATCAAAATGAGCTCGGTTTAGAAGCCATACTTCATCTTCAAAGCCATATGGTGAAATGAGTATTGTGTGGTGCCGATAGTAGAAAACTAGACGTAGATTAGAACGCAGAGTCTGTACTTGAAAGTGATCTGACTTTATTCCTTTTTAGTGCGTGGATCCGTGCGCAAGGGCTGAACAACATCGGCGTGTGTACTGCGTGAATAATGCAGGAAGACGCGCCGCTCCACGTTTTGTGCGACGCGGCCCATGCCCGCCCAGTTAAAAGACAGATGCTGATATCTTCAAAGGTTGCCTTAGTTTGAATGGGGTTCCCGGACGCCGTGGATACTGTAAGTAATTGGAAAGCTTTATCCAGTGAATTTGAGGGTAACAAAGCCATTTTAGTGTTCCAAGACGTGCGGAAAGGGCACCCAATTTCGCTTCGTAGAGTGTCGTGTTAAAACGCTTAACGCTACTAAAAACAGTGAACCAGCCGTGCCAAAAGTAAGTCCTTATGGTGATGTATACTACTACAGTGAAAATGAACTATGCTGGCTTTTCCAGGAAAAATGTGATGCACTTCCAATGCCCACCGAATCTCAAGAGTGCGATCTGAACGCTTGCGAATCCGAATTTCAATGGCCCAGATTGCGACCGTGGGGAGCGGTAAGTGCTCGTTCGAGTTTTTAGGGGGGGGGGGGAAGCCAGGATTACCTGACAAGCTGCTGAAATGATTCTCGCTGCCTTGCTTTACAATAATGATCGGTTGATGATCGAATTAGGAAAAAACCAGTGGTGAGAAAACGTCGCGGTCGCGGCAGGTGGGGGGGGGGGGGGTGTCGGCGGGAGCGGAGGGCTGGCTCATTCTGTCTCTGCTGGAATTGTCCGGAACGATCGCGACATCATCAATTGTGACTCAGCATTCTTGTGATAAATAATCTCATGATTGAGCACAGTGGGTGTGTTTTTCAGTGCTCTCAAACCTGTGGACAAGGGTGTTCGACGACGTAAAGTGCGCTGCCACAACCGTATGGGAACGTTGGTAGCACGTGGTAATTGTGAGAACAATTCGCCTCGTCCACGTCGAACACAACTTGCTTCAGAGGAAATTGTAGAGTGGCCTTACTGATTCACCTGGTTTCTAGTACACAGTGCTGCAGTAGAACAGCTGGGTCTACCTGGGCACGAGGTTTGGGTGTAAAGGCAAATTGGCGCCTCTTGCTAGGCGCGCGATACGCGGGTCACAGTTTGGACCAGCCATGCCTTCCATCTGTCCGGGATCGGCCAGCTGGATGCCAACTGGGAGTCTTGCCTGGGGAGATGGCTTATTGATTTACACATCCAGTGATTTTCTGCAAGCCATTGTGCGGACCAGATTACCTAGTATACTAAGGTTCAAAACGTAGATAGAAATTGAAGTGACTTATAACTGCACCACTTAGCAGTTCAGAGTACGGTTCATAAATACTACTTTGGTGAGACCTGCAGAATTTTGTACTTTTGCTAATTCGCGTAGACAAGCGAGTTAGCAAAAGTACAAAATGCCCCCTCCCGACCCACGAAGCGAGCAGCAACAGGCATTGGTCATATGTTGAACGCTTTATCCGGCCTAACAAACAACCAAAGCGCGTCTTGCCAATGAGAAAACGTTCTGCAAAATGCGACCCCTACCTCACAATCCCTGCTCTGGTTGGACTCCCTCTCCCGAACTCCCGTCCTACCGACATCTTCTCCTGGATTCTCCCAATCAGGGTACAGCATCGTTGTGTGCAACACATAGGAGTTCTGTACGTTTTCTCTGCGGAGAGGGGGGCGGTCGTATATGTGCCTCTTGAGAATAACCTTATCGCGTAGGTTTTCCGCTTCGTTTTGTGGACGTTTTCGGCGTGACTTTTTCCTGTTTTTCATATGATACTATATACCGCTGAGTAGGGCACCACTATTAGTTGGGGATTTCGCTCGAGTCCGTACCACCCCCCCCCCCCCTCCGTTCCCTCCTTTCCATGAGATCAGCAGGGCGGGGAGGGGTATTAGCCGGGAGAAAAAAATTCCTTTTCCAACCGCCGCCAAGATCTTCTCTAGGAAAGAAAGTATGAGCTGCTCCTCTCAAAGCAATGATCAAATACGATCCCTCCCTCCTTATGGCGCTCTGGAACAAGAATCAACTATCAAAAAAATTTCTCCCAGATCAAATACGACCCTATCGGTGTCGGGGTATCCCCTACGATGAAGTGCCTTGTCCTGAGTTTTCTTTTTCCGAAGAAAACCTCCACTTTTCCCAAAAAAAACTGCCGTCGAGTCGGGAGGGGGTGGAGGGGGTATATAGCTATGTAGTGCTCGTGAAACGGGAAAATCGAAAGAAGTTAACAACAAGACCCCACACTAGGAATCCTCAACATGCAGCGTGCCCTGCAACCTATAGTTGACATCCTAGCGTAGAGGTCGGCGGGGTGAATGGAAACCTTCAGATGATGATAAGGGAGCATGAGATCAGCTCTCCAGAGGAATCTGCAGCAACACCATCAAGGCAACTACATTTCCCTTTGTATTAGCAATTGTATTTTCAGGTCTACCAGCCACATGCCAAGAGATCCGTGCACAGAATATTGTTTCACATTCTGTTGATGGAAATTACACGGTACTGCTAGATGGATTCCCCCTCGTCGTCTACTGCCACCGAATGAACGAAACGATTCCGAAGTCCTATATCAATCTAAATCCTCAAACAAATTTCGCCGAAGTCTATGGAAAACGGTAAGCACGTTTTTTTAATCATCGAAGAGATTTCTTTTTCTTGACGAAAGAATTTCAGTCTGATCTACCCTCACACATGCCCATTCAATGGTGAAAGGAATGATTCATGTCAATGTACCGACGATGGCGATGCAAACGCCGGCTTAACCCATTTCAGAAAAGTTCGTGTCGATCTGCTGAATCGCAAATTCAACAGTAAGTTTTGCATGTCCTTACACTTCATATCCCAAAGATGGGGAGGGCGTGGCTGCGTACTCCGTGGGAACGTGACAACGGCTGCGCTTCCGATGAGGTATGGTGTTTTGGGAGAGCCGTGATCAATCTTTAACTAGCACTATAAGAAATGACATTTGTTACAAATAGAATCATCTCACGAATAACCCATTCTACGCCACGTTCCACTGAAGTACGCACGCAGCCACGCCCTCCCCATCTCCGAGGTAGTGAGTGTATCTCAGCATCAAAGCACTGTTTCAGTCAACGACATGGTCTTTGCCGACACTTTGCATGGCTCTTTCGTTCCATACGGTACAGCAGGTGACTGCTATAGCATGAAGGACTGCCCCCAGGTAAAAAGCGGTGATATCATATCGTAAATAGGATTTTTTTAGAATCTGTGCGTTTCAGGGCCGATTCTCTGTAGATCTCCGTGGCACGGGGTTGAGAATCGTCGATGATTTGCAATGGGAAGACAAGGGACATCGAACCACATCGAGGATTGACAGATCATCGGTAATTTTTATATCAAAGGAGAATGTTAGCTGCGGATGCTGGGGCGACTCAGGGGGAGGCTGGGTTTGGCGCTGCGCGCCACCGTTCTTCCACCATCTTGTGATAGCCAGCCATAGACCGCGGCGACGGATCACTGAGAAATGCCCAGGCTATAGACATGAACGCAGCCGCAGGGCAGGAAAATTGGCGACCCGCCGCTTGTGTTATTGAGAGCATTTAGACCAGGGGATGTCCTACGTTGGGATCTGCTCGGGGGAGCGTATTTAGTCGCTGGAAGATCGTAACTGGTCTCAGAAAAAAAAATCTTCAGCTAGTTGATTTTTCCCGTTTTACGGGCGCCGTTCAAGTCGTTGGAGAAGTATTCATTAAGGAAGGAGGTATCGCAGTGCTCGGCCTTCAATAGGGGAGACACCGTATTCGCCTTTGAGAGGAATTTTGCGGAAAAAATATTTCCAGTTGTTGACTTTTTTGTGATTTTTACACGCTTCACATGGGCTACAACCCCCCCCCCCTCTGCTGCAACGAGCAAACTTTGCAGGGAAAAATTGTAGAAATTCCTTGGAAGGTGGTGTAGGAAGAATCTGGAAAAGAAGTTGCGTAGAGCAGGACAAGAACAGATAGGTTGGATGAGGAGGGGAGGGGGTCGCAGCACAGGACGAATTTGAGGGGGAGGGCATATTTCCCGAAAACTCTTCCCAGCGGCAGCACGTGCTCTGGTATGGACCGGCGCTACAGGTACTCGTCTGCGGCTGCGTTCGCGTCAATAGCATTGGAGCGCCCTTGCAGCGGTAGCGCGTCGTTGTGCGTCATCGCGAAGTGTGAACGCTGCCGAAGCGAGTAAGCCACTGCAGTCTAGTGGAAAACAAGGTGGCGCCAAGCCTCCCCCTGACACGCCCTTACATCGGCAACGAACAAGACCGTATTGCTCATCTCACTGATGTCAGTGAAATCCCTTTTGTCGATGCACTGATTTGAACATTAATTTCTCTCAGAACAATGCTGTGATCGATGGTCGATGTGGCGGTTACTGTGGCAAATGCGCTCCGGATAAATATAAAGGGCTCGTGTTCAGCATTGATCCAAAGCAAATAACTGGTACTTGATAGCTGTCATATGGTATGCCGGCTGCCCTTTGGTAGGACACATCAATGCGTTCACAATGGCATGATGAATAGTAGTGGTAATAATTTGTTTTAGCTGTGTTTACTTTTGATTGTTTTTTATGTACCGATAATTAACCATTTTCTCTAATCATTGACATTAACGAAACCATCTCTCATTCACTGCCCACTGAAAAATTGTCTGATATCATTCTTTTAGCAGTGTTTTTTTTTACTTTTCATTCGTAGTGATGTCATATAATCTCGAAAAGGTGCTACTACAGTCGAAGGCTCCATACAGCAGCGCGGCGATGTCCGCTCCTCTGCATACGAGACAGCGCGCGTACTCTAGCTGCCTGCGCTCTTACAAGGCTGAGCCTCGGTAAAGGGAACATCTCGCCGGGCCGCTGCCCTGACCCGCCTGACTGCAGTAGCACTTCCAAATGTTGTTCATATTTATGTCATATTGTTATGAGCTCTCTTCAGTCTGTCTGTTTTATGTTGCGAATTCTTTTCCTTATAGGTAAATTATTTTCAGCCTGCCTTTCAAAAACTGCTTTGTTGTGCTCAAACGAACTAAGCATGTTGTACGCATTTCTCTTTTTTCGTACTGAAGAGATGTTATTCTAGTGAGTTTATACGTGCTATTTTGCTTCTTTGTTCATTCAATGGTGCGCTTGGTCTTGTTGCGCCATCCATTATGAACAGTCTTGTTCGCTGCGGATGCTGGGGTGTGTCCTGGGGCGGGATTTGGCGCGGCGGCGGCCCGTTCTCCACCAACTGTTCAAGCGGTTGAGCGACAACAATTGGTGGAAAAGGTACTGTCGCAGTGCCAAACCTAGCCCATCTGACACGCCCCAGCATTCGCCGCGAACAAGACTGCACTCA